GAAAGGATGGGAAGAGTGTTTTTTTTGGGGGTAAAAAGGGTTTTTTTGGGGTGTTTTTTTTTTTTTTTGGCATCCAAGGCAAACTCCCTGCCAAAAGTTCTCAAATAATTCAGGATTCGGACCAAAACCCCTCAGGGGTTTAAACAAAGCCCCCTCCAAACACAAAAAGCGTTTCACTGCGGTCTTCCAAGAGGTTGGAAGAAAGGCTTAAGTTGTAGATAAAGATTCGCAAAGCTGTGCCAGGGCAGGGTGTTTGAGAGGAGAGCTGGAAGCACATGCTTGGGGTTGGGTTTGTGGGGTTGGTTTTTTTTTTTGGTTTTGTGAAGGTCAATTCACGCGGCCAAGGGTGTGTTTTTACATAATAATAATAATAATAATGATAAAAATGGAGCCAATTTTGCAAAGCCTGGTAAAAATACTTTGAAGGTCCCAACCTGCTTCTGAGCTCTCCCGCCAGCCCTTCTGCTTTTCCCATTAGTTCTTTATTTTTAACAGTTTCCCCCCCCCACACACTTCTCTTCCATCCGCCGCAGCCGAGAACAGGGAGAGCTGCCTTATCTGGGACGGGGAGGGGGGGACACGGAAAACCAGAAAACAAAGCTGTTAACTCCACCGAGCAAACCGAAAAGGAAAAATAAACAACTTTTTGCCCCATGTAGAATTAGCTAACGCTATTTCCCCCCCGCGGCGTTCGGAAAAAGGAAGGAGCGGGGTGAGGAGTTGACTCAAAAGTCCGGGGAAAAGAAATCCGATGGGGAAAATAAATATTAACTGCAGCAACCTGCGCTTTTTCAGGCAATTTCTGGGGTTGCCAAGCGAGGTTTGCCCAGCTGAAGAGGAGCTCCGTACCCCCCCACAGCAGGCTTAACGGCGGCCAACAATCAGCCAGGCTACGGGAAGATTCATATTATTAAAATGTGTTACAAATTGAGGAAACATGAACATCTGACGGCGAAGACGAGAGAGAATATTTTTGAATGCGACAGAAGAGGGAAAGCCAGAAACCGGCGCATCGCTCCCGTCTCCCAAATTTCAGTAAATCAAATTATACCGGTGGGGACTGCGCTGGTGCCGGGGCTGTGGGTTCGTAGGAAATGGGTCACAGTATCTCTGGGTATATTCATTTCCTCTCCACAAATTATAGGGTCATTCTCGGGGGGGGTGGGGGAGGGCAAGGCCAGGAAAGGTCATGAAAAATGCATCTAAACCGCCTGGTGATGATTTTCACTCCTGAGAGGTATGCCAACAGCTTTCTGATCTCTTTAAATTGTAAAAAAAAAAACCACCCCAACCGAAACCCACCTATAAGCCAGGCTGGGGAGGGGGGGAGCACATTAGCCAAAAAAAAGAAACCCACAAATCTCACTTTACGGCTGTAATTTGCTTTAGATGTCATCAGTTAATGCACAGGTGGTTGGGTTCAAACACAAACCACGGGCATCCGCAGCCCTGCACAGCCGGTCCACCCCCTATTAAAAAAATAAATAAATCTCATTTTCCGATGCTGCGCTCGCCCCGGAGGGTGTTAATGTGCCGGACCATCGCGGGGGGGGGGGGGGGG